GTTTTATCCCACCAACTGCACGCTGTGGAACATGTATATTGTATTGATTATTGTTCGGGTTATCGATGTGTCTGTTGGCTAACGTTCAAGATAAAACACACCCGACTTCCAGGGGACACTTGCAACATTTGTTCTATAGCTAAAAGAAAATGCAGAAATAAACTTCAAAGGATCTGTTCGGTGTGATATATATAATTGCGGGGAAAAGGGTTTGAACACGGTTCCTGTAGTAAGATATAAAGATAAGTAGAAAGACGAGTAGGAAGATAAGATATATATACCCATCATTAGCACTACAGCGAATCAATAAGCTCAACTCACACCTACCAGTTTTAGGCCCTTAAAATTAAAACGACCCGATTCCCATCGACGATCATAAGACGGGTCATTTTTGCACCACCGATTGAATGGCGTAGTCACTTTATCGGCCATGATAAGTCGTGAATTAATAACGAGAGTTCACCACAACTTAATGTTTGGATGGCCATGTTTGTCAAGAATTCGCCACAACTTGATGTTGGGATTGCTATATTTATAATGATTATAATTATTTTGATGGTCATGTGTCAGCGATAGAGAATCACAGACAAATACTCCTTGGTGTGCGTTGTGTTGTTGCTGTATCTGATAAATTATATAAATTTCAGTGACAGCTCCTCCAGGTTCACATTTTTATTAAAACAGTGTTGCAATTCGGGGTCGTACTTGCAATAACACCATAACCTATAAAGGTACATTTATTATCTAATACAAACAGCGAAATTACAACAAAGAATGAAACCACGGTGGCTCAGTAAGCAAGCTGTAGGTCCCGTGTTGGCTGAGAAAGTTCATCGGATTTTTCCGGCGTGGTTCCCCCTTGCCACTTAATTGTCAGTGGTGCAAAACGCATGGCCTGACAGGGGAAAATGTATAGTCTATAACAAAGAACACGTGCACTAATGTTGTGTATTTAGGACAGTAAATAATTGTTAATTAGCAATCTACGCCGACCCTTGTCCCTTATTATTTGATTTTTAAAACTAATACGGGAAATCATGCTTTGTCACACACAAAACCAAAATGTCGAAAAACAACACTTCGTATGTCATACCCATATTGAAATCCAAACAATGAAAGTAATAAGGAAAGTTGGTCCTTAACATTTTCTGCTGATTAATTTCAACTTAGCCAACGGCGATACGAGATGATACTTGTGAATGGCAATATACAAAGTAAAGTTAATTTCCTTGAAACATGATTGGTATTGGTGTGTGTGAATATTCGACCTGGTATAGCCTCAAAGGAACTGGGGACATTGCACTGTCTGTATAGAGGAATGAGATCGATCAACAAATGGTAATGGTGCGCAAATAAGCGGCGGAACATTTATCTAAATGTTTGCATGTTACACAGCACTAACCTTGCAAATCACAAAGTAATAAAATGAAATGTAAGATATGAATTCGTGCAGGGAGATTAAAGTTGAAAATGTATACGAGTTGTTAACATACGAATAAATTATTTTTATGCGATTCATAAAATAAACTATATCAAGAAAATGTGAATATCACAACAAAAGAAATTAATCCCAAGAATAAAAAAAGCTGTGGCAAGAGACTGGGGTTCTTTTGATCTCCTGGTTAACTGCGAACTGGTGTAATCCTTTATAAATATTCATTGATAACATGACAATTCAACAAGCTGAATGCTGAAGAAATCATTTCATACAATGATTGTGAATAAACAAAGTTAAGAAGAACTGTATTAGAAGTAATAATTTTCCGGCCAGAGTTCCCCAATAGTAGATTTCTTTTTACCGACAAACGTCTATCATATTTTTTCTACTACACTTTTCCTGTTTCAAAAATGTCAAAATATTGAAAAACTATACCTTGCATCTTGGTCAAAACTCGTTAGTGCATGCAAGTTACATTCTAGTGAAGACTGTTATAAACTTTTCTTAGTAATTAGGTAATTCCAATATGCAGGTTACAATACACATTGTCACTGCAATTGTTGCATATCAACTTTACGAGTTTTCACCTTCTTTTGTCTACACAAGTGAGTCATGGTAATTTTAATGAGATATATTTGGCTTATTGTAAATTTTGATTTCAACAGGTTATTTGTATCGAAACTGTCACAGGGAGATTTTCGACATTTAACCCGCACAAGATTTAAAAACTTTAGTATCTCGATTACACCCAATAAACATTTCAGCAAAAATAAATCTACTGAACTAAAGCCAAGATCAATCAACTGGACTAAAGCCAAGGTTTGATTTCATTTTCTGAAAGGACTGTCAGTCTGAAAAACAATGCTTATCGTAACCTGTGAATTTATGCTTTTAAACTGACCAGAAACGTGACTTCTAATTGGGTCGTTAACTAGTGAGACACGCATTCTTTAATATTTCAAAGAATTGTAAACTGGGGAAGCGTTTTATATAGAAGCGTTACAATTTAACTAACTCCATGTGGAGTTTGAGAATTAAATCTGATATTTTGCTAGATGAGAGAGAGAGAGAGAGAGAGAGGGAGAGAGAGAGAAATGGGGCTTGCTAGTTTAGATCCATATCAATTATAGTCCATGTCGCCGTTTAGCCCAGTGCAGTGCGGGGTAAGTTTGCACTGTAAATAATTTTTGTGTATTTTTACCGTAAATTGACTGGCAGAAAGTTGCGAGTAAAATGACTGTATTTTAACACTGACTTGTAAATTTACACCTAAGCGGTAGATTTAGATTTACAAACAGCATGTAAATTGACAGTGAGTGTAAAATAACTTCGATGTAAATTTACATTGTGCTTGTAAAAAGAAAGTGAGGTAAATTTACATTCAAAGTTATTTTACACTCACTGTAAATTTACGTGGTGTTTGTAAATCTAAATCTACAATTTAGGGGTACATTTACAAGTCAGTGTTAAAATACAGTCATTTTACTGGCAACTTTCTGCCAGTCATTTTACGGTAAAAATACAATTTGAGGTGTATATTTACTTGAAATATACTTTGAAAGGGATGTGTTTGTCCCCACTCGGCTAAGTAGTCCTAGGTTCGATCCTGGCAAACACATGAAGTTTTGCGGACATTTCAGCCGAGCATGCAAAACACCATTCGATAATGGAAAGAAATGAAATAAAATGGAGTTTAACGTCCTATTGTTCTGCTTCTTACAAAGAAAGTAGTTGGAGGCGTGACACAAAGTAAAATGTCCCACACAACCCTATGTATGGCATTGCTTGTGTACATACGCCAGTTAGGTGCATTCAGATTTTGAAAAACCTATTTCCCTAAAATAGACTAATCTTACTGACATAATAGTAAATATTTTACACAAAATTCGATATGTGGTCGAATGGGGAATAACCGATTTGGACACTATTTGACAGTAAATTTACAATTTGTTGTAAAAATACTATTTCAAATGGCATTTCTGTTCATATACAGCTCACATAATGTAAATTGACATATGGCTGTATTTTACATTACATTTGATGTAATCCTACATGTGGCCAAAGAGGGAATGATCGATGTTGCCACTATTTGACAGTTAATTTACAATTTGCTGTAAATATACCATTTCAAATGGCATATCTGTTAATATTCATGTGCATTTACATCGTTTCAAATGTAAGTTAACAAACTATGTGATATTTTAAGTATACTTATAACTGTAGATATAAATATAATTTAACGGTTTAATATGGATCTTTTACGTGCACACCAGTGTGTACACTGGACCTCGGTGTTTCATCCCATCCGAACGACTCGACAGATATCATTGTCCGGTCCTCTGTCCTGCATCACTGACAAGAGGGAACCACGCCGGAACATCTGGATGAACTTTCTCGGCCAATGCAGGGATCGAATACCCGACCTCCAGGCTAGTGAGCCAGCGCCTTACCCACTTAGCCACCGTGACTATAGACGAAAAGTAATGAAGCCTTTAAAGGTCTATTAATGTTAAAGTTCTAAAGAGATGTACAATGATACGTTTTCTATAAATTGTACACAATTCCCGTATTTAAACATGTTTGAAAAGTAGAATTACCCATAAAACAGTTAAAATACAGCGTTCTCAAGATTCTACAAATGATCAAGAGCTAGTACTTATTATTACCAGAAATAGCTTAACTGCAAGATGCCCTTTCGCCGCTATAATGTAATATCATACATTTAGTGTATATTATGCCCATAACAAATTAAGATCGACGCAAAAATAACGACAACGGCAATATAAAGCCACATTTCATTGTGGGCGTATATAAATGACCACTCGACACAAACTAGGTCATTTCGTGACTAATACATGGTCCAATTTTATTTCAATAATTCACTTGCGCGTAGGGGTCTTTAGCAATGGGAGGACGCGGACGACCGTACTCCTTGTCACGTACAATCGGGGAATCGAAACCACGCCACTTGACAAATGATAGATCTTATGATACAACGCACACGCGTTAATCATTCGGCCACCCAACCCTCTAAATGTATATGGCGATTTAGTACGGTACTACAGCGTCTATTCTAGGTCTTTAACTGTGTTTACAGAGGTTGTGATCTACTGCCCCAGTCTGTCATCAACATACCAAATGTATTGCCTGGATTAAGTGCCTTTGTATAGATTTGCACGTGGATGTGATCGGGTCGAGCCCCTTTCTTTTGTAATTTGTTTGACGGATCTTATCAAACATGGCCTGTTCCTACAAAAATAGCCGAGCATCTTGTCAAGAAGGAATAATACTTTAATCATATCATTCAGAAAACCGACATGAGCAATGGATCAATTACATTAACGCTAACAAAAACCAGAAAACGACTGATTTACAAATCCTTAGCGGACTCACTATAAAAGTCACAATATTGAGCATGAATATTTTAATTTTACATATTGTGAGTTGTGGACTAAGACTAGTAATTATTTCCCCTTATTTCATGATGGACGAATGTAGTGCGAGTTATAAATAGACAATTTTTCCCTTAATTTTTTTCTCCCCTCTTCCTGCATTTTTGGGTTGACTTTTTGGTCTAGAATTGGAGAAAAGGGATCAAATTTGCAATTTCATAGCAGTTTTGGGTAATACTGATGATATTACAGCGGAGGGATAGGGGGTGTAAAGTGTCTTTCTGCAGAGCAGTCATTGTGTCGGAAGTGAGATTTTCACCCCAGTCAACTTCAAATCCGTGTAGCAAAAAATCTAAATGGTCAACCCCCTACAAAATTATGATGAGGAGATTGCCAAATGTTGTCCCCATTGTGCCTATAAAGATTGGAACCAACGGAATGTTGAGAAAAAAGCTACAGCCTGTGATGTTACAGCCATTTAACATTGAAGTCAATGGGCAAATAATTGCTAGTCTGAGTCCTGATGAGATAAAGAAACATGGCCGACTCGGGATGTTGATATTTTTTCAAGGGCTTATTTCCTGAAGTTTTGAATGGAAAGTGTCAGAAATAGTAAGAATACTGCTTTTTTATTGCCCAGCAGTAAGTTTTTTGACTATTTGGTATCAAAATAGCCATGATTGGGGGTATCCGTTGGTTGAGTGTGAATTTTGGGTTGTAAATGTGTAACATTTTCTTCACAATGATATCAAAACATGGTTAGGTCTAAATATTAAGGCCAACTCAACTCCAGATTTGGTCTAAAGTCACGAGATGTAAACAAGGCTGACCCTAACCCTAACCCAAGACCCAGTCCTTACCCTAACCCTAACCCACAATCTTGTCAAAAAGCATGTAGCCTAGGCCTAAGCCAAGACCTAGTTCTGACCCTAGCCCAAACCCACAATTGTGTAAAAAAATCATGTGCCCTAACCCTATTTACATGTTGTGACCTTGAACCAAGTCTGCAGTTGGCCTTAACATTTAGACCTAACATGTTTTTGACATCATACAATGAAATGTTAACATGTACACTCCAAAATTCACACCTGTGTGACTTTTGACCAAACATGCAGTTGGCCTTAATATTTAGACCGAACCTCAAAACATGGCATCTACCTTTGAGATTGGCTTAGACTTATGTGACACTCAAGGTTTACTTTTTTACTGATTGTTAACTGGTTTCTTTTTGGAGGGCCAGTGACGGGCTGTTCGCGAGAAATAAAGAGGTTTATTTCTATTTCCAGTTGAAACCATATTTTTTTCTTATTTTCTCACTGTTTTTTATTGCATATTTATCCCCAGCCTCCTATCATTTCAGGTGCCAGGGCAATGTTTCATAGAGTGGAATGATTGACCTCAACACAAGTATTAAAAAAAAAGAAGCAAAACAGGTGAGATAAATGTGCATTTCATACACTTTAAGAAGTAAATCCAACCTCATCCCCACTTCTGCTCACTAATAGTAATGGGCTGGAAATTTGGTACTGCACAGGCCTGTCTTCTCCCCTTGACATTTAACTGAATGACAGAATTCCACATTTTGACCATTTTCTGGATGTCAATGACCATTTCCCTGGATAGTATTCGCCCCAGAATTCTCATTCTCATCCAAATTTAACATTTCAGGTCTACATCTCAAAACCTGATCTCTTCCTGGACTGGCTTTAGGAGAACGATGATGCATATCAATTTCATCCCTGATCTCTATGACACCTGTGGTGGAAGTGGAGGGCAAATCGTAATCAGTTTGGGACCTCTGTAAACTTTGCTTTTTGGTGATGACTTAATTTCCGAGCTTGAAAAGGACGCTTGTGTGTTTATCATGGCCTCTCATATTGGAAGATAACATTAATGGCTTGTGTGTTGATCGACGGTTGTGCATATCTCTTGGTCAGGAAAGTTGTAGGCACCATCGCCATTGTAAATCATTTGACAGGCTCGAGTGAACGGGGCGACCTATGATTGGTCAGCAATGTATCAGATTCCATACCGGGGGGTGGGGATGAAAAAACTGTTGTAGTGTTACATAATCAGATTATTTCAACTTACTTATCCTGTGGAAATACAGCTATATAGGAGATATTTTGAAATTCATAGGCACTGCATGTTTCAACATTTTAGATTTGACCACAATTTGGCACTTAAAACTATGTTAACAGAGAAAAACTGTGTGGTTTTCGATGAAAGTGTTAAAAGTCTAATATTGCATCATGATTACTGTTTTAAAGTATTTTCGTGTTTGATTTATATTGAATTCATCTCATCTTTTTGAAGAATGCATTTATGTTCAAAAATAAAAATGTTCTGTGGAATTCAAAATTCATGTGCTTTTAAATTATCAGATTCCAAACTGGGGGGTAGGGATGAAAAAGCTGTTGTAGTGTTACATAATCAGATTATTTCAACTTACTTATCCTATGGAAATACAGCTATATAGGAGATATTTTAAAATTGATAGGCACTGCATGTTTCAACATTTTAGATTTGACCACAATTTGGCACTTGAAACTACGTTAACAGAGAAAAACTGTGTGGTTTTCGATGAAAGTGTTAAAAAGTCTAATATTGCATCATGATTACTGTTTTAAAGTATTTTCGTGTTTGATTTATATTGAATTTATCTCATCTTTTTACAGAATGCATTTATGTTCAAAAATAAAAATGTTCTGTTTAATTCAAAATTCATGTGCTTTTAAATTTCTGTCTGAAATTCCGCAGTTTTCTGATGCATTATAGTGTTTGCAGAATGCCGCACAGCTCATCTGAAAATGCATAGATTTTCATATTCTTTGGTCAGGGAATTGCATATATGTTTGTTTATTAGATAACAACAGATTTGTTTAAACTGCAGAAACATGTGAGGTATATAGGACTAAGACTAGTAATTATTTCCCCTTATTTCATGATGGACGAATGTAGTGCGAGTTATAAATAGACAATTTTTCCCTTAATTTTTTTCTCCCCTCTTCCTGCATTTTTGGGTTGACTTTTTGGTCTAGAATTGGAGAAAAGGGATCAAATTTGCAATTTCATAGCAGTTTTGGGTAATACTGATGATATTACAGCGGAGGGATAGGGGGTGTAAAGTGTCTTTCTGCAGAGCAGTCATTGTGTCGGAAGTGAGATTTTCACCCCAGTCAACTTCAAATCCGTGTAGCAAAAAATCTAAATGGTCAACCCCCTACAAAATTATGATGAGGAGATTGCCAAATGTTGTCCCCATTGTGCCTATAAAGATTGGAACCAACGGAATGTTGAGAAAAAAGCTACAGCCTGTGATGTTACAGCCATTTAACATTGAAGTCAATGGGCAAATAATTGCTAGTCTGAGTCCTTGTGGGCTTTGGGATTAGCAATAGCTTAATGTCGGCTCTCAAATAAAATCTACTATATTGATAAAGGTATTATATTTTTCGATAAGCGTTGGGTTTCCAATATAAAAGTAGGAAAAACACCAAACAACCACTAAAAAATAACCATGCCATTGCCATTGAATCGATTGAAACAACCCATGCCGTCGCCTTAAAGTAGCTAAGTCTCTAACTCAATATCATCAAAAATCTTCTACATTGAAAACACGAATTATTTGTCAATTCAAATCAACATTGGTCTTGTGATCTTACAGGGAAAATATGGGCTTCTGATATCCAATATTCAAGACAAAATAAACATTTTACCATTGGTACACGAATCGTGTACCATAATGCGTTTCAGTGCCATTTGGAACAAGGGACTCAAAGAACGCGGCTAGACCTATTCCACAAGTCATGTCAAATGGTGACGCTATATTCTTATCTGGAGAGCATGAACAATAAATATCATCGGTGTAGACTGGAATAACCAGACGCTAAATATTACCATTCAATTGAGACTTCTGGCGTATTTCGCGGAACATAACTGATTAGAAATTACAGTAAAAACAGAAACGGTTGAATGTAAATCAGTTTATATACATTCACATTACATTTTTATATGCCTGGCGATCCATTTGTGTCAATTTCTAGGTCCCAAGTATTAGCGAATTAGCTCCTTTAATACTGGGTATGTGAAAAGGCGGACCTTGTTTCACCACAACCAAATTTAGTCGCTATCTTCATTTTATACATGGTATAAAAGTCATCGCCGTCATCTGTGCTTGGACGGGTTCTCGTTATATACACAATTTCTACTGACTTTGCTGTAGAATGACGTTAAGTCGTTGACTGTAGTAGCAACATGGGCGTAAGAGATAACATTATATAACCGTCAAGTTTAACCGTAACAACCAGAAACTTGATAAAGGGATAGGGGCTGTTTTCACACCAGAGGGCAGACAGGACACGCCAGGATTGGCATCAATCAAAAGAATATTTTTACGGAAAAGTCGACATTAACACCTTAACACGGTTTTCCTTTTTGCTATTTCCTAATATATCTTGGTGTATTTTCTTTTTGATCGTCGGTTTATATTTTTTGGCTAAAAGCGTTAGTAAATAAAAAATGCACCGATGCCCATCTTTGAACTTGTAAACAAATATGTTCAGTTCGCTAGTGGAATCGCCATAGACGTGTTTGGTGGTAAGAATAAAATCGTTCTCCTACAAAAGACATGTCTGACCTTTCCTTACCCTGTATTCTGGCATTAGCTACTGCAATCAACTTAATCAATTTCTAATTGACATGATCGAATCGTATATAAATCGGTCTATCTTACACAAGATCTCTTTAAGACAAAAAATACCAACACGTTTTCTCTGATGTGTGAGTAATGAATGAGTAAATAAAATCTATCAATAAAATGGTTTTATTAAACGTGGTAAAAAAAAAACTTATCTCGATCTCTTTCCGCTAAATATTGACACTGATTCAATAATTAACGGCCTTTTATTTAATTAGTATTTCATTTAGATCATCTTCGTCACTAAATTACATTTTTATTACAGCTAATATATTTCTTAGCTCTCCAGTGCTGGTATGTTTTGGAGAATAAAAAATCGATTTTAGTCAATAACATTACTATTTTTTATCCAATATTTTTATTTATAAGTTCTTTAAACTAAAATTTTTAATTGATGTCGGCTATTTATAAAAGTGCTCTAGGAGCTATAAATCCAGGTTTATTAGACAAGGGGGAGCTATTAGATCAATAAATTGCTACGGGTGGAAGGAAGGAATCGATGTAAACCCACTCCGATATGCCTTATACCCGTTATATCGTAGTAAAGCCCGTGGAACTCGGATATGAAGACGACACAAGATCTTCTTTGAGGCGATCAGTAGTCAGATCCCTTTTATTCTTTGTTTAGAAATGACACCAGACAGATCATTCAGAAATTGGCAAAGGGAGATCCAAAGAATACATGCGGCTAACCTTTGCATACTCCGTCCTGAAGTCAATGCCTAATTTGCTGCAATGCGATCTAAAATCGATGAAAATTAAACAAAAATCAAAACTTTCAATTTCACCTGTTACGGTATTTTAAAGTTTGTCTGGTTGTATTATTATATAATTATTAACAGATTGACAATTTTCCATTCAGAACATTCTTTTCAGAGCCAGCCATATTATTTAATCAAAATCATATTAAAAACACAACACAGTTTATATGGAAATACAATCACTGGTTTATAAGTATAGCACGACGTTTCGACAAGTATTCTCTTATCGTTATCAAGCACAATAAACTGTGTTGTGTTTTTAATGTGTTCAATCGCTAAATGCCACTCAAGGATTAAAATCATATTACTCGACACCCACAGCTTCGTATATAAAATGTCATATTAAATATTGCCGATAAACCGTGAAGAATAACAACATATTTTATTTATGAAAATAGCATATCGTATTATTGCAATGAGTAATTTCCAACACAAAAACACCAACTAATTCTTTCTGAGTCAACTTCTGTCATATAATTATGATTTTATGTCATGAAGATAAAACAAATAGTGTTTTCAAATCTGTGCTTTATTTTGGTGGTTACCGTTTTGTACAAAATTATATATTATAGTGTCAAGATTAATTACTATATAGTGTCAAGACTAGTTATTAACTGTGAGATCTTTTAACCCGTGGGAATCACGGTGGCTAAGTGGGTAAGACGCTGGCTCGCTAGCCTGGAGGTCGGGTCTTCGATCCCTGCATTGGCCGAGAAAGTTCATCGAGATTTTCCGGCTTGGTTCCCCCTTGTCAGTGATGCAGGGCGGAGGGCCTGACAAGGAGAGCTGTCTAATCGTTCGGATGGGACGAAAAACCGAGGTCCCTTGCACACGTTGGCGTGCACGTAAAAGATCCCTTGAAAGTTGAAGTTCGATATAAGAGTAGGTCTAGTGCCGCTGTCCGGGCAAAAAAATTCCCTCATAGCACACTGTATATTGGCCGAGAAAGTTCATCGAGATTTTCCGGCATGGTTCTCCCTTGTCAGTGATGCAGGACGGAGGGCCTGACAAGGAGAGCTGTCTAGTCGTTCGGATGAGACGAAAACCGAGGTCCCGTGCACACGTTGGCGTGCACGTAAAAGATCCCTTGACAGTTGGAATTCGATATATGAGTAGGTCTAGTGCCGCTGTCCGGGCAACAAAAATTCCCTCATTTCAATTTCGTTTAACCCGTTTCCCTCTGTATAAAAATACCCCATGTTCGAATCCCATGTTCGAGGAGATCGTAGGACTTTTCAATCCCGATTCCCCTTTGTCAGGGCAGTGTTGCTAGTTATTTGGGTGGGAAGTATGAATGAACACTTGAAAACTATTTAATATAAGAGTACGCCGATAGCACCGCTATCCGGCGAAGTTTCCCTCATAGTACACTGTATAGTGTATGCCCATCTTCATTCGCCCAATCGGAGCAGAACAGTAGGATTCTAAACCCCATTTCATTTCATTTTCCAACTTTTCTGCGCAAATCGGACTATTGAAGATATGCATATGCTATGCCAGGCCCTTCGTCCTGCATTACCGACAGGGAGAAACCACACTGCAAAATCGTGGGGAACTTACTTGACCAACACCAGGATCAGCGTACATAACCAAACTGTATATTGAGAGGAAGATGGCCGACCACCCGACATTTTAACAGGACAAATGTAGGGTGACCCACCATAAATAAATATCTCCATATATCTCGACAATTACGCCACAATATTTATATATATGCCAAGCCTCAAATCAGTTTCACACAATTATAGTCACTAAATAAACGATCATGTTGTACTTAATAAGCTATGACCATTAATCATGTATAAATAATAGACTGAAAACTGGTTCCAAGAGTCGTCCATAACATCCAGAAACTTTTGAGTAAAAAATAGGTTACGTGCCCTTGTTTTGAAATTAGTCTCGCTTATCCAGTCTATCGACCATTCTACGCCTGATTGACAGGTCGAGATAATCAAGACTACTTTTTTACGAAACATAACAGAAAGCTAGAACAAGAAATTGAATTTAGAAATAAGCACGTTAGGTAGCTCAACAATCGTTTTAAGAAGCTTGTAAAAGTAAAATGAAACTACTGCTAGTATCATGTTCCTGTCTAACCCGAGTGATTCAGAGATATTATTTGTACTAAACCAAAAGATGCCGCTCTTAACGGTACAGTTAACGATAAAGCGATTTAAAAAATGAAACGAACCTAATTTCTAAATCTGCTGTAATAACCAAGAAGCTTAATTTTAATGCTATTCAAAATCGTCAACAACAAATTTTTTACGGCTGTAATAGTTGATAGATTTGTAGAGAATTGCACGTGCCATGGCTATTTATAGTATCATACTGTCAGAAAGTTGATCTCGGCACGGCGAATGTGCACGCTTCAGTGGTAGTCTCGAACTATCAGCGGTGGACTGTATTTCTGTGAGTACATGGGTCACCCTAACAAATGTACCAATTAGCCACCATACTTGCTGGGGTTTTTTATACCCATATTTATAGCGGCGGACTAGTGCACCCGCGGACTAGTGAACCCCTTCCCTTTTCGGGCTAAATCCTTTCACGCGTAACCATAAAAACGTATGTTAGTCTAAAAATTATCGGGGTAATGTGTCGATATGAAAATACGTTAAACCCCATTCCTATGCTATCTTCTGTGTACTTCACTAATTCCAACTGTCCAAGCCATGCTAAAAATAACGCGTTTTCGTCCCGCAGGAGTAAACTTTATAATATTATGTTTTATATTCAGACAAGCATATCCAGAGTTTCCGTAAATAACTTCCCGTAAAATAAAACACATAGTGGATTTTCACATTGGGAGATCCATAATTCGAATAGGAATTTGCTAAAAAGTTGAAAAATGATAACTGTGCAAGCACAATAGGTGATGAAACCTTTCCATTCACCATTCGGTTACGTTGCTTCATTACAAAATGATTGGTACCAAAGTGCTATTCTTGGTAATGCAACATGAAAGTACTGCAATGGCATTGAATGAAATGAATTTCTATGAATCCGTACCCGAGACACAGTATATGCTACGCTACAGTTTGTATCAAGCCGTTAATAAAATCTACGCATGTGGACCGGTTCAACCTTTTCCCGATATGGCTATTTCTATTAAATAACGTTGTTGTTGATTTGCTACCAAGGCTTAGTTGGTTTTACATGCTGTTTCTACTAAATTGTTTAATAATTAACAGTTGCGTGCCATTTGGTGATATTAAATACACATTATGTTCAAATTGCGTTACTATGATTGTGTATATGCATGGAATGTGTATCACTGGTATAGTATGTGCAGCTACCTTTTTTTATTCTACTAAAGCTGAATATATTTCGTAATTAATTCGAATGGAACAGAAATCCTAACTGAAATCAAGAAATCAGTTCAATTTCTAATGTTATATTGGTGTCTATATTTAGAATTGTAACAAGTTTCAATTTTCTCCCAGAACTACAAACCTATGTTATCGAGGTTATTAAATACGGAAGATCAAGACGACTGCTGTAACGGATGAATGTAGTACTATCGGACTAAACAAAACGGGGTTTGCCAGGCAACGAAAGCACACCAGCAACCGCTGATTATGAAGTGGAAAAGGGTTTCATAATTCTAGCCACTGAGTAGCAAGGTTATATAAAACAAAGTAGAGGTTGTCTTTGAAAACCAATGGGCGACTTTGTCATGGTTAACTAATGTTACAAAAATTCAAGAGTGGTCACATGTTTTGAGACAAAGTGGCAGAAGATATATATATTTTTTTTAAACTATCCAAATTTAAAAAAAGGAGGGGTCATGAAGTATAATATACCAGTTGGGCTTAGGTTTATAAAACCAATTTCTATAAGAAACTGCTTTGACATTCAGTTTACAATCATGTATACTTTTACGTCAGTAGATTATTGTAAGACATCTTTGCCGTTTTAATATAAGGACGACAGTTAACATGATGTATTGACATTATTATGTTGATCCTGCAGTTGCTAGTACACATTGCATAAAACCTCTAGTTACTCACGGTCAATGAACATGATCAGGTTCTGATATTGGATTCGGTTTATAATTGGTACTTGCCTATAGAAATAAATCATGCAAATTATTATAGCTGTTTGTCGTAAATCAACTTGATGAAATAATATATCACCTGCACTTGCACCAGAGTATTTGACATAACATCGCAGAAATGGGTGCCATATGAAACGATTGGTTTAATAGCTCGTGTTAAAGCAACCCTGGATTTCGTCGATTGTTCCATCAGTAATTAATTTGTTATGGATTAAAGTTGAACTAATTAAGCAATGGAACATAGAAATGTCGATAATTCAACCTAGAATAATATAAAGCCAACGACGTAGCCAAGCGACGGTCAAAGGGAGGGTGTACTTCGGTTGGAATAACCTGGAAACATAGAACGATAACCGAAGTTTGCCAAGAGCGATGGCAAAAGCATGCTTGTTTCATTTCAGTTTTTAGAGAACTAACTGGTCATTTGGAAATTGCACACAAGAAAAGCTTTTAAAGGGTGTTTAGCTCCAATAGTGGTTCGAAATCCCCCGAACCTATAGTTTTATATTGGAAACTTACTATCTTTTGCATGACAAGAAAATCATTCTTCACCGAGTCAAAACATGGATAAATTTTGTTAATGCTAAGACTCGGATTGATATACTGTATATATGCTTACATTTGCCATTTTATTAGTAAATTTGGGTATTTTATTCGAACTAAATTCGCTTATAGTTTAATGATCTTGAAACTACCGACATCCTTCTTTAATATATATATATATATATTTAATTTATATATTTCTTTCTTTTAGGTTTTTCCAAATGCATCATCCACCAGTCTAGAATAACCACTTTATTAAATTGTAAGCAGTCTATGAATTAATCCGTTAGTTTGTCTCTATGAGAAACCTGAATCTTACTATAACAGTAAAGAATAGCATTTGGCTTCCTATAATACCAAATAGATTCATCACGTGATACTCACATTTCTTTGCCGATAGCGCGCGATACGTTCAATGTTGCCAAACGATATCCGGCTCTCGGCAGACGCTACGATTTGATGAAAGTGACACACACTAGACAGAATATCATTTTTGCGCTTCGAGAATTTTTGACACATCAACAGTGCCTTTTGTGTTACATAATTCAATCAACGAAGGTCTTAAGTTCAGATTTTCTTTCTAATTTATGTACTTAAAATAGAAAAACTTTAGATTAAAAAGTTTAATAAGAAAAGATTCAAAGTTATTAAATATATAAAGGAGTTTAAATATCTATAAATATCTATTAAAGTTTAAAACATATTTAAAAACCAAAAAAAAAACAAGAAAAGATATCGATTCAATTTTCGGTATTTTGGAGAATATAGTGCCATCGAGTAAGGGAATATATTACGTCACCAAACAGAAATATTAATTTAGTGTGGGCTGCAAAAAAGAGTTCACGCGCGTATATTCGATATTTAGTAGATATGTTTAATACTCACAGAACGAAGGAATTTGAACATGGATGTAAGTTTAAAGTGAATTTGTGAGATTCTACAAAGGATTTAAATCATCGACGGCCTATAGGAATATTAATTACCAGTAATTAAGCATGGTGGAAAGTTAGAAATGGTTTATAACAACCAGTATTTATTGTTGGGATTCATTATCATCACTAGATTCTTCAGGACAGGTGAGTCATCATTATGCAATTGTACATGACATATAATTATTGGTGCAGTTCAAAATTATAGACTCGAATAAATTTTAATTCAATCAACGCATCCGAATGGAGAATCCTTAATACTATTATAGAACGAGTTTATATTTTTAAGAAAAAGTATGATGCCACTATATTACGCGAGAGAGTAACGGGGGTATACTAAAGCTGGAATTATATGTATTTTTGAGTAAATCTGTAAGCCGAAATCTGCTGATAAGTACTCGGTTGTATTTCTATTATAGCTATAATGTTAACATATAGCCTTGTATTGCGACATGGCCAATTATCTTATTACTCATGTCTGTTACATCACTGTCTGTTACATCTGACGGACACGAAGTTTCATACTTGGATCACTTTTATTTTTTATCAGGCAATCCACTAATATGTCCGTTTCATGAATTAGGATTCAAAAGATTTAAAACTTCATGTTAAATGTTATATTCACCAAAGTCTTAACTTTTAGTTACAACAGTTTCCGCTTAAGTTTGCTTTGTATTTTATATTAAAGGGCATGTATGTATATTTGTCGTCTATGTGTAAGTGACTACATATAATTAGTTTTTTTGTGTGGTTTATTTTGTCTTTCTCTAAATACAAAACAAGGTGTATAAAGAAAACGACGTGACTTGTACTTCTTGATTCAGATACCGATAATAAATTATTATTCCCGCGGGTGTACAAATGACGTCATATACAGATTTAAAATAGCTGGCATCATTTGTTTACCCCCTCCCCCAATTCTTTAACATTAACATATTATGATACCATAGATCAATCCATTGTAATTAAAACCAATATATAATTGGTTTTAATACTAGAGATATATCTATACGAAAATATAACGAAAATACTTCAAACATTATAATATATAGGATTTAGACAAAGAGCTGGCCCCTTTTGCTATAATAGTTGTAAATAAATGTCTAAATAATAATATAACATTTGATGTTAGATGCAAATGCAGACTCATCTCTTATATAATACCTATTTAATTGTGTGAAAATTCCTGGTTACACATAACCGTCGACGCAAGTTTGAACCCTTGCATCGAGAAACCTGTTCAGTATCCGGTACACAAATGTATAACAGTTTTAGTCAAGTTGTAATGAATAATATTCATTTCACCAGAAACTAAACTGGTTTTGGATGTTTGGCCACGAAACCCCATGGGAATATGACCTTTTCTTATAGTTAACCATGCTCGATACTCGATATGTCAAATAAATGGAAGGTCTCCCCACCTTGACCCAGAGTCGTTGAAAATAGTACTTTCCTAATACGAAGCAAATATTAGAAACTGACACAGTTAAAATGAGCTACGAAGGTTTGTAGGCAATTCATGGGATTTATGGTTATGCGAATATCACGGAATTCGCAAATGTTAAATACATTCAATGAATTTTCTAGTATCAGTTAATCTGGTATTATGTCTTTGTCGTATTGTCAGACATATCGTATTATATAATTATAAATTTTAACGGTAAACCTTGAATGCCAACTACAAATCAACTTGATATAACCATGTCACGTGTCATTGAATCGGGGAGCGTGTAGGAGAATACATTACTATTATTGTTTTTCAGAACACTTGGTATTCTGTCGGTTTTTAAAAATAACTATATATTTAAAGATACATTATGGGAGATTAGAGAAAAAACTGTCAGTTCTCACTATAATAGTTAAAAACGTGATAATGTAAAGGGTATTTACTGCAAATTTCAAGCCAGTTGATCCACTCTGAACCAAGAATTAAGCGATTGGATTTTCGGCCTAGCCTCGATCATCATTACTAAAGTCGGTACGATAAAAAAACATAGTCTCGATTATCCATTTCATGATTAAATCATGAATGAAAGTTGAGCAGCAAATATGATCCTAATCCAATAAATATCGCAGGCTAGCGATGACATCGAAAGTTGATTATGGTCTGGATAAATTAATTTTAATTAATTTGTCTAATTAATAATTTAGATAACATTTCAGGCCTAAAGAAAGACCTGCAATAGGCAGATTTAGCTCTTGCATAATGTATGATAAACTTATTACAATTATAGACGTTGAATGCCGCGAGGTTCGGCATCCGGGGGGTGGTTGACTTTACAGATATTATTTTTATAAAAAATTTCGTGTAGAAAAGCATTTGGCCAGAGTTTTATTGCATGAAAACTGGGCACATCTACGTAATCGACGGCAATTAAAATTTGATGCTACAAATACAAGTTCTTTTTGCGACTTTTAACCTACCAAAGTATGTGACGTCATAGGTAGAAACCGCTATTAACATGATACAATCAACAATACTGCAGATATTCAATCTGGATATTTTTCCTTTTTCACAAATCAAAAGGCGGGGTGCCTCACTTCTAGGAGCGAATGTTATGGAATCGCAACGAATATCATTTTCGGAGATAAAGGATTTAGAATAACTTGTCAGGAAAAGTAATTACGAGCAGATCTACAATTGAAATTTAAGAACAGGGTAAAATTCCCCTTTCTCAAAACAGATGATGGAGTCGGTATTGTGTCTCCTAAAATATAGAAGTACAAAAAATACGACAAATTATATTTCCTTAACACCAAAAGAAGTCTTAACCATACTTTGCCAGACTGCAGTAAGACAATACAGACAACATAAGATGACTCTCCATTCCATAACCGGCCTATAATTGTCAACGAAAAACGCTCCAGAACCTACATTTGAATGTTTAATCGTATAACAAATATAGATAATTTCTGTCTGTTGGATACAGCTGCAGCATGGATAAGTTCCGTGGTTTATCTAAACCGATTGAATATAATGTTAAAGGCTCAATACCACTCTTGTTGTAACTGAATAATATGTCCCAATCTTTATTCTGGTCAATAAATTGTACTATTTTATACAATATTCCAATTAATTGATGATATAAATTTCATCTTAACACACCTAATTTAAAAAATTGGAAAAATTCAACTAAATGATTTGAAAAGCCTGGCGTAAAGCTTTTCAAATGTGACTTGGATTTAAAAATATTTTTGAACCCTCTGGACAAGTAAAATAGGATTTAATGGATAATTTACACAACAGGTAGAACACTAACACATCTAGTACTTAGAATAAGGCAATTTTTTATTTTCTGGTGCTGTCAAGCCAGCAAGAGTGTTATTGTCCCTTTAAACATACGTGTTGGCGAGGAGCTTACGTTTCGTTAACGGGCAAACTAACTTTAAATTATTATAATTCCTCAATTAGTAGCGACAACCACGTCTGATGTACAAATTGAATTCTTTAAGTAATTTTATAGCTTTTTCTTGTTTCATAAAATTTATCTATCTGGCAAAACTACAACTACCCAATTTCTCGTAAGTGGACTTCGATGTCATAATACTTTGTGTTGATTATGAATTCGTTTTACATTTAATACATTGTCAAGAATCACAATTATCGAGAAGTTATTATATGTAAGCATACTCAATTAATTCCCCATATGTTTGTTGTTAGCAATTTACTACCCATAACGCGAACACACAGAGGAACAGATATATAATCTTGTGATTTTTCTAGACACTGAAGTAGGATATCGTCGCGGTGCTCGAAACTCAATTCATGTCTAGCACTTTTCACTTTTTCTTAACAGAAACTTGTTGAAATTCACATGACGATATACAGTAGACATGATTTAGCCTCGGGATTTCTAGACATTGATTGGTCACAGCGTAATTCTAAGTAACATCACTTTTTAAACATGTTACAGGTTTTTGGTAAATAAGTCAAACGAGATCAAAGTTCCCCAGGACTAGGGTGAAATCTCTGAAATAGATTGTAAAGGGATTATTTAAACCAAAAATTAATTACAAGTCCAGCTGACAACATGATTTATATTGACGAGTATTATGTTTCGTTTGTTTTATGTTCTACACTAAACTTTTTAATCTTCACAGTCCTTTAGATTCAGACCGTAGCGATATCGTCCTTACATGACTTCAATAAATTGCCGGATTAAGGCCGGTTTGTCACACATTACTGTAAGGAAATAACATCATTGAGGTTTGTATCTAAAGGATTGAAGCCTGTATACTTAAAATCTACCGAAATCGATTTGTTTTCTTAATTGACACTTATCTTCCCTTAAAAGTTCCGTTGCCAGAAGCTAGGTGAATTATAACTGGTTTTGGTCTATTTACACTATCACTTCTAGAAAATACTTAAATGGTGTCTTCGAACAAATTTCTTATTAAATAAAGGGTTTCGGCGTAAATATTAGGTTTAGGACCGCTCTAAGACATACATCACGCTGTATCTATTTTTAAAAAACCCACTAAAAGGAGTTTTAAACTATATTTCGTCTTCAGTAGCAATTAACCTTAAGGTACACAGGGATGAAATTATACTGCAGTATATTAGCTAGATTATAACGCGGATTTCGGTGATCTCATTTCGAAATAAAGCGTACATTAATAACCAGATCACAAAGTTCACTCTGTGATCTGGTGATTCATTGGTTTATAATGAATCTACGATTTCATTTATGATGCCCCTCTTGCTTCTATGGCAAGGTGGTTTCTTGGGTAAAAGATTGTGGAGATAAAAATGAACGCTTCCCACAGTAATCTAAGACTTGGATATCGCGTCTATAGATTACGTCTGATAATCATTTTAGCAGGAAATTACATAATTTACACATCAGGTCAATTTCAGTCGTTTTCAAATGAACCGGACATGTGATACGATCAAGAAAAATGTTCCACTTCATGGATATTTCTCTTGTTAAGCCAGGGCAGCTCAGAGGTCAACTCTGTAACCCACAGTCGTATGTCGAGCGGTCCGGTGTCAGTTTTGCTGGAGAGGGACTGTCTGTTCTATGCTATATTAAAGGAGATTGTACATAGCTATATATAACGATGTTTATAAAAAGCTCCCACCCCACCCCTCATAAAATACCAAAACCAACAGTAAAATAGCTGCTGTTCTAACAAAATTGCCATAT